AAGCAGTGGTATCAACGCAGAGTACTCAGTAGGATTCAAGAAGGATGCACATTTCTTGAGCACGGTCCCAGCGCGGAAAACTGGAATAAGAACCTGCAAAGGTTTCGTAGTAACTGATGAATGACGGTAGGTAACAAACAGTTGATTACCTTTCCTCCTGCCATCACCCTATCATGCACTTTTCTTAGAAAATCCCTTTCTCGGGCTCTTTTTGAGTCACGAATTGTGGGTAGCGTAAGTGGACTCAGAAATCAAACAATCTGGCCGCAATCCGGGCAGCACTCTGGCAGCACCGAGATGACGATCGGGAGTCATATTGTAGTCACCTTATAAGAAGCAGAATATATATTTTCAAAAAACCTTATATATAACACTTACCTGTATACAATATACTCTGGTGACCAACGCGAATCTCAAACATTGCTGCACCTAGTACATGTCCAGCATAGAACGCCCGGATTGACAACTCACTGTCAACCTGTATGGTTTCATGGAGGTTAACAGCAATAACCTAAACATCGGCAAGATCATTGTGGAAATTAGTCTGATGGTTCCATAGAGCTACCGAAAAGCGATTTTTCTGCAGAATTAATTGCACAAGGCAGTGAAACCTATACTACCTTTTTCATGCAGGCCTTTATGTTGGCGGATGTAAAGAAATTGGTGTCTCCTCTGAACTCTGTCTGCACCTTGCGGTAATCTTCCTGCAACGATACGAACTTAGCAACGGATCTAAATACATTACAAAAAATTACAAAAAGGCTCTTACCAACAAAAACTGGCGCTATAGCTTTCGTTGGGTAAGTCATATAGATAGGTGGGATGAAGAAGATTGAAATCGAAGGAAAAAATGGTGGGTCTTGACGATTTTTTTGAAAATTCTATCCGTAAGTCACATTTTTAGCACGACATAAATCTAGCTGTGGAATACATGTCATTTAGCGCACATGCTGATGCTAAAGGAATCATGCAGGTAAATGTGCTATGAGACAAAAAAAATTTTGACTAAAAAAATCATTCAGCTGATAAGAGATTGCCAACCCCGATGTGTAATGTTCGTACATGGAGAAGCTGCGAAGATGGAATTTCTCAAGGGGAAAGTTGAAAAGGAGAGTTCTTTGAATCTGAATTTGAAGATGAATAGATCAATGTTAGCCATTAGAAAGAACTGCCAAGTATCGTTCTTGCAAAGTTAATTTATCATGAAGTTTTAAGATTTGTTGCCCATCAGTTCTCATGATAGTTCACGCTAGTTTTGATAGCAGATTAGAAATGTGAATTACGTAGTGAAGTCCGGGTTTTAGGAGTTTCATGTACCTGTCCTGATGCCAGCTAATGGAGAATCGGTAGTGATCCCAGGAATTGCCACTTTGGAGGTCGACGTTCCCCATGATATCGTTCAACGATGCATTGACCTCGATCCAACTCCTTCGAAGAAAGCGTGCCCATTTTCTGCCTGTTTGATTATGGATAAGCAGGTGCTGCTGGACTATCAATCTCTTCTACATCAAAAGAGTATTTGCAGAATGGTCTCGAAGTGATTTCTTGCGAGGCAGCTGCTAATAAATTACAAATGGGTCTTCATACTATCACTCTGTCGCAGCTGATAAAATCACGTAATCCGGTGGATTGGAGAGCCCTCTCTGAGGCTCTGACAATCCATGACAGCAATCTTCAGCATAAGCAAGTATGCCTATACATGTCGATAGTTTCGAACGTGGCTAATCCAGTTTTTCAGGACGGAATAGAGCTCTTCCATGGTGAAATATGCGTTTTACCCGTGAAAGGAGACGAAAATCAGGTAATTTTTGTTATTCGGTGTACCAAGAATTTGTTTACCCAAAGTTCTTTCAACTTTATCGTTGCCAGTTGGCCCAGCGCAGTAGGACTATCTCGTACGCCGGAGTTGGTAAAACTGCTGTAGAGCTTATCTACTGTTCATGATTTAAAGTCTTTGCATAACATTCTATTGCTCACATTGGTTCAGTGCTCTGGTTTTCGAACTACCAAAGAAAGTTTCAATAGGCGGATAAGATAATAACTTGAACTTAGGCACTAAGTTTATTTGGTGTCTTATATTCATTTTTTTCGCTGTCAGTTAGCATAACAGCTGCAAATATTTAGGTAAAACTGATCTGGGATGAGTGCCGAGAGGCCTGGCAATCAGTGATCATGCAGACTATACAAGAAACGCTCAGCAAACAGCCTATAGGCATAACCTGAGTTCTTTTCGAAACCATTGCGATATGCATCTTCAATGATCGTCAGTCATGTACATGTGAAATCTCATACTCGTTCTGATAATAAATTATTGATGCGTTCTGATTTTGTTGGTATATCATTGGTTCCAACCACTTATTTTCTTCGCTGGCCGTTTACTGCCGCGCATAAAGACGAAGTTATCATATCCCGCCCTTCGCTTGTGATCAATCAAACAAGTTCCTCTCTTCAGCTCATTGATTACGTTCTTTTTTTGTCCTACTTCATAAAATCTCTTTCTTCACCGCTGTCAAAACTCCTCAATTTGTGACTTAGCGATTTCTCTTGAATTTGTTTGTTTTTGATACCTCTGACACACCTCTTGAAGGTGTCCTAGAAAATGTGCCTATTGTTTGATAGCTTATAACTTTACTGTCTTGAAGTCTTTGGGGAAGCTTACCATTCCATAGAACTGCCTTCATTAGTTTTGCAGTATAAAACAAGTTTGTGATCATTGTAGGATTACGGTAGGAACCTCTAGGATACAGCGCCGTTTTGAAATAAGCCTTTGATTAAAAATTTTCAAAAAATCTGGAGATTTGTGTAGTAGGGTTTTCGTGCATGCTGATTTCGTTACACAAGTTATTACAAAATTTTTGAGCTCTTATAGCTTTGATTAGATCTCGTGAACAAAATGCAAATACTAACGGTTCAAAACCCTGTTCTAGGATAGGAAGAGTGATTGGTGATTCGCTCTATACTTCAAATCTGTGTTGAAGCCAGCTCAAACGGTTGAAGCTTTTCTAAAGAGTTCAAGACAAGAGAGTTACTAACAATCAGACAATAGGCAGATTTTTTGGGACACCTATATGTGTGGTTTGGGTACTGGTTGCATTGTGAACATAATAGGATATGTAGAACAAGTCTGTTTTCGAAGAATCAGCTTTTTGGAATTTTCTGTGTTTCTGTGCGCTAAGTGTGCTCAAGAACCCGGGGTTTTTCCCGAACAAATAACTATCACAGACTTAACCTGACCCATATCTCAAATGAGTGTAAATATAAGAAAGGTTTACTCTACACAACAGCTGCCAGCGCTTCTTGACAATCCAGTTATGAATTCTGAGAACTGGTGAAAATTAGGCTCAGCGAACTGCTCGAATAGCTAGCGATAAAATCCAAGGATTATATAGAGTGTCCCAAAAGTATGTATGCACTGTTTGATCGTTAATATCTCTCTTCCCAAGAAGTCTTTTGCCTTACTTCATTTGCATTTTAAAACGAATCACCCATCTCTCTTCATTACTGTAGGATTACGGTAGAAACTTCAAAGAGGGTTTTGAGCAATGAAAGGCCATATTTTGCCTCAGAAAGGAAACAAAACGGCCTGAAAGCTTTTACACTAGGCTAACTAAAGTTGCTGATTCTAACTGTAAAGTTCGCAACTTATTATGGTGCTTCATTGAAGAGTTATGCCGGGTAAGAGGTAGCGGCTATTTTTTCAATGTTAAAAACTGCGGTTACACCGTTTAGGAAGCTTCGTAATCTTGTGAATAGTTGATTATTGAACTCAGCGTCCATAAAAACCCTATTACACTTTCACATTTTTCTTGAAAAATTTTTTGAATTGGCAGCTTTTTCCACATCGGCACCATATGTTTTAAGTTTCTACCGTAATCCTGCAGTAATAGAGAGATGGGTGATTCGTTCTATGATGCAAGTCTAAGTTGAAGCCAGCTCTACAAAACGGTACCTGAAGCTAGGCAAAAGACTTCTTGGGAAGAGAGATATCAACGATCAAACAGTGCATACATACTTTTGGGACACCCTGTATAGTAGTTCGGTCCGAAAGTTCTGTCGTCCCATCTTCAAAAATTCGTAACTTCTTGCTGTCTGGACGGATCTGCTTTACTGTAACTTAGAAAGAAGAAAGCACCTACTTTTTCATGCTGTCTTAGCGGATTCTTTCCTTGCACTGGTTGTGGTGATGAAATTATATGAAGAAGATCGTCCAAGCTTCGTCCCTTGTTAGGCCGCAAAAAATCTGAATCGTTCAGAAACCGGAATCAGCAGCACATTAATTTTACGAACTACTCTTTGCGACTGCAAAAAGTTTGTGCGATTAGACGTCTTTAAAATTTATTTTTGGAGTTTGCGATAGAAAATGTCGAAGTCAATTTTTCTGTCATTATTCTCAAAATCATAACTTTCGTAGGTACGCCCGATCAGCACAAAGTTCTCACATTTGGAAAGAGTAAGTCGTAAGACCGTGCTAATATCGTTTTCGGATTTTTCAGCAACGTTAAGATTTTTGGTGGTCTAATTCAAAATGATCGAAGTCTGAATGATCTCCCATCCAGTTTATATCCGTAACCAGTGTTCGGAAGGAAGTAGCTAAAGTTGTAAAAGTAGAAGGCTTCTTCTTTGTAAAAATCAGATAGCGAAATGTTACGTTTTCTTGAATATGAAACCACAGAACTTTAGTACCGCATAATAAATCAGAGAGAATTCGTAGCTTCAAAGGAGAGTAAAAACTTCGAATCGTATCTAGGCCGTTCATCGACCATTTCTGTAATTTTCGTGAGCGAGAAAAACCGACAGAACTTTCGGCACAACCTGATTGAGTGACCGTTTGCCAACAAATTGAGTGCACCACCATGACATGCCAACGGCTTTTCCCGAATTTCACTTTAGAAGCTCTGGAACGGTTTGTGTATATCTGAATAATCAGTGAGTAGACTTGTTCTGAGATTACTGGTGTTATTTCCAATGTTTGAGGCAAAAACCCGGATGTGAGACTGTTCATGCGGCAAACAACAGTTCTCAATAATGAATTCAGGATAAATTCCGGAAGTGTTGACTTGCACTTTTGATGTCGACCGTTATCAACTGTCTTTGAGCCTTTGATCGCTGTTTTAGTCTTGCAATCTTCTTTCAAGACATCTTTTATGAAGTTCACTTCAAAATTCTTCGCCTTCACTCCTTCAGATATCTTCTCAACAAATCAAATCTGCTACACAATGGTTGTATACCATTAGAGCGGTTAAGTAGATCTTCAGAGGAAAATTTCTCCGGTTTCCAGTTGTTCACGAGAACTTCATTATCACGATTAATTAAGTAGATCCTGTGACTTTAGATAAGAGACGTCACAAAGTAGACGGCACCAACAGTTTTTCTCTGTGATAAGAGGATGGCGCAGTTATATATCTTTGACATTGAAACCATTTCTGTTATCGAGAAACAGGAAGCTTCTACATCAGAAATTTCGATGACAAAAACTGGAACTTGTCATATGATTATATATTATAGTTCATGGTAAGATTGTAGATTATATGAGCATATATTAGGTTGATGCATAATTCCTGCACCAAAATAGGTACAGACCGCAATAATCTGGAATAATCCTATATCCCAAATAGGATTCGATATATCATTAGATAGAGCAAACCTAGCTCTACAAGATATTGCTCAAATATCTACACCAGCTTTGATCCACGCGAAGTTTTGAGCCGAAAACTGAAAAAAAAACCATGCGTTCGAAAACCTTAAGACCAATAAAACAAAATTGTAACTTCGTTCAAAAAGCTCCTACAAAATTTCTTCCTTGCTCACGCGTAGACATTCCACGTAAGACATTTATCTATGCGGTTACTGTATTTTTTTCTTAGCTAGACGATGAGAAAACGAAGTGTTACATGTTTTTGCCAAATTAGTGCTGAGATGTTCTAGCACTAACTGTTCTATAGTGCATGCCGTTAGCAGTGAAACTTCACATTTTCAGCCTTCTATAACGCTAGTTTACGAGAAATGACTCTAGCTGGAGAGATGAATCTAGCTCTCCCTATCCGGATTTTTCTTGCCCAGTTGCTAAAAATTCGATATTTCTCATAAACCAGCTGCTGTGAAGAGCTGGAAATTCTCATTCAAGCTTCTCAGGTCCTATAGTATACAACTGTCAGTGCTAGAACATTTCAGCTTGTTTTGGAAAAAACATGAAAAAATTCTTTTTCTCAGTTTCTAGCTGAGAGAAAAATACAGCAACTGCATAGAGAAATGTCTTATACGAAACGACAGTGCATGAGCAAGTTAGGAGTTTCAAAGGATTCTTCTGAGCGGAATTCCAGTTTTTTCTTGGTTTTTTGGGGCGCTTGGATCTTTTCGTTTTTGGCTTCAATCTTTGCTTGGATCGAAGCTGCTGCCAATCTTTTAAGCACTATCTTGTAGAGCTAGGTTTGCTCTATCTAATGATATATCGGATCCTATTTGGGATATAGGATCACCGGATTATCGCGGTCTGTACCTTTTTGGTGCAGGAATTATGCATCAATATACTAGAAAGAAGTTGAGCCGAAATACTCGCTCTGTTTTTGTTCATGTGGCGGAGGAATATCGACGGGAAAGGGGGGGGGGGGGGGGTGACGAATCGTGAAATATTGGAAGTGGTTCACATCAGATAAAAGATTGACTTGTTTTCACGGAATTGTTTTTGAATCAACTTTCAAAAAATTTTTTAGCTCAATATGTCTTTGAAAATTTTCTTCGGGGGCGTCGCCACCTCCGCGCTTCCTTTTTTTGAATTTCAAGCTACGGCTTGCAACAATTTCGGGAAGCATCTCCAAAGTCTATCCCAAATGCGTGGCCTTGGCTGTAAGAAATTTCTTCCATGTTCCTCCCCTGCTGCCAAAAGTTACATGGACCTCTCCTTGTTTGGTGTGGTTTTGAGTTGCGTTTCACCTTACCCATTGCGATTTTTGGGTACCTTTTGCTCATTATAGAAAAAAAAAACGAGGAAGGCTCTGTTTCTTACACCTGATGGGTTCTCCCAAGCATTTGGAATTTCAGTTCTAACGAGAACGAAGATGGTAAGATGGTAAAAATCGACGATTATTTTCAAAGTCGAGCTCTAAGAATCTATTCTTTGAAAAAGTTCTGGTTACTCTTTGGATGGCTGAGATTCAAAAAAATCTATTACTTTTGTTATGAATCCGAACAGTTGTAAACCTGATATTCAGATTAGAATGCACGAAAGGGACTTGAACTAGGAGGGATTTTTTTCGTAACTAGTAAGCACAGCTAATTTTCCACACTTTTCCACAAAGTTTGAACACTTTCTCGAAACGGTATAAAGCGTCTAAAAGTGTATTCGATGGTCAATTACGAATGCTAAGCTCTAGCAGTAAATTCCTCTGCTACCGCATATCAGCTGCAGAAAATGCTCTTGTGTTATAGATTTTACAAGCAGATATGGCAGCATAGTTTCGAAATTCTTATGCTTTACACTCGCCAGTTGCAAGTACACTATGTGGTTTTGTGACTGATGCTTCCAAAGAGCTACTAAATCAAGATTTTTAGCAGAGTAAGATAATATATTCACAAGTAGCACATGTAAGCTAGCATACATTGATTTCTCGGTCCTTTGAGCTTCCTGTCTTTTTTTTTGTAGATTGAGTCACGATTCATCGTCATAGTTTATTCAGTCGTGCGTCAGACTTACCATTGTTAGCGTCGTTCATGCCTGTTCATATGTTCCTTCTCTGTCGCTTCTAATGTGACTAAAAATTATTTTGTGACAGCCCTTTCACTAAGATCAGGCCACTTCCTTGTGAGTTATCTTGTAACTCTTCCATGTGTCGGAACATGTCCGTTAGCTCACATTTGAATGATACCATACCATTTTTCTCTACATATCTCATCGTATATATCTTCAACAACAATTTTTATTCATTTGAATGAACTTTGAGCCTAACGTACAGAAAATGTGCTTTGTCTAGCTGAACTAAATTTCTGTCATAACTTGGAACAAAATTATCTGTTGCTCGGGTAATGTCTGTACTCATTCTGAAGAATTGAGGGTGATAGTAAGATTAGTCCCAAGCATGATTTTTGCGAAAATTGTCTGATTCATGAGTATAGTAACTGTCGTCATTTTGAGATCATAAATCTGCCTCGAATATTCGGGAAATGTGTAGTCGTAACGCTACGTGGGTTTTTACCTTGGCTCAGTTCAAAGTACACTCTGTCTGAACCATAAGAAGGCGACATGCAAATCCCTTGTCTTAGTACTTTCTCGCTACCTCGAAAGAACTGTGTAGTCTGTTGCAAAAAGCAAATGTTTCGACAAGATTTCGAAATTTTGAGTTTTGACGAACGAAGTTCGTCAAAACTCAAAATTCGAAATTCGAACTCAGACGAACGAACCTTTTGAAGTTTTGAGAGAAGTCATTTACTATTTTTCTTTGATTCAATATTTTCAGGTATTTTCGAATTACTTGTTCGTACGTTTCTCTTCCGATTACTTCAAGATAGCTTGGTTCGGATGTGCTAACCTTGTCATTCAACTTTTAGGTATCTAACTCCTGGGTGACCGAAAAATTCACCGATTATGTTAGCTGCTGGTCAGCTTATTAGCGAATGGCAAAATGGCCAGGATATTGAGAGATACGTCGAGTTAGGAGATCTTTTGGAGTTCAGGAGAGTCGCATACATTGCTGGTGCTCCTCATGGCATCTACACGGTGACTACATTGTGATGTCCATCTTCTCGCTATACTGATGATTTTAGCACTGGGCAGTGTACATAGGACGACATGATAATGTCCCTCTAGTGGTGCATCTGTCTGGAGAAGGGGCCGACTTCAACACTGGAGAGGGTGTCGGCAATGGCCCGTTAGATTCACTCGCTGGATCATCATCAGGCTTATTCAGCGGAGTCGCTGCGGAGGTCTGAACTAGTTCCTTCTTTAACAAATGAAGATTTAAACTCTCAAAGCTGCACAGTTCATCAATAATATAATATACTAGCTGGCTTACCCGGCTCCGCCGTATCCGGACCAAACTTGGCACACATACACTTCGGGCCCCGGCGGGTGTCACAGTCCACTTTTCGTTATCGATCGATGTCGATTTTACCGATTTTATCGATTTTTTTGCAGAGTTCACCTACAGGGCTAGGAGTTGGCACAGGGGGGGAAGTGAGCATGGGGATTCCGAATACAACATTAGTTTTCAGGATCGTCCATTACTTTTATCGATTTTATCGATTTTTTTTGTAAAGTTTGACCTGCGGGGCTGGGAGTTTGCACAGGGGGGTTATCGAGCATGCTGATTACGAACACAATATTAGTTTTCAGGATCGTCCATTACTTTTATAGATTTTATCGATTTTTTTGTAAAGTTCGACCTGCGGGGCTGGGAGTTTGCACAGGGGGGTAATCGAGCATGCAGATTACGAACACAATATTAGTTTTCAGGATCGTCCATTACTTTTTCGATTTTATCGATTTTTTGAAAATTTGAGCTAGGGGGCTGGAATTTGGCACAGGAGTGTAATCGAGCATGCTGATCACCCCCCTTGGGGATGATCAGCATGCTCGATTACCCCTCTGTGCCAACTCCCAGCCCCCTAGCTCAAATTTTCAAAAAAAATCGATAAAATCGACAAAAGTAATCGATAATCCCGAAAACCAATATTGTATTCGGAATCCCCATGCTCGATTACCCCCCTGTGCGAACTCCCAGCCTCGTAGCTCAAACTTTGCAAAAAAATCGATAAAGTCGATAAAAGTAATCGATAATCCTGAAAACCAATATTGTATTCGGAATCCCCATGCTCGATTACCCCCCTGTGCCAACTCCCAGCCCCGTAGCTCAAACTTTGCAAAAAAAAGATAAAATCGATAAAAGTAATCGATAATCCTGAAAACCAATATTGTATTCGGAATCCCCATGCTCGATTACCCCCCTGTGCCAACTCCCAGCCCCGTAGGTGAACTCAGCAAAAAAATCGATAAAAATCGATAAAATCGATATCGATCGATGACGAAAGGTAGCCTATGACACGCGCCGGGGCCCGAAGTGTATGTGTGCCAAGTTTGGTCCGGATCGGTTCAGAAATGGAATTTTCTATTCGGAACATACGTACATACATACATACATACATACAGGGTGCGGCAAAAGTCTGGGAGCCTAACTTTGCAGTACTGTAATTACAAAGATACTGATGGTTTTGAATTCAATTTTATGCCACATAATGCTGCGGTCATCCTCTACAGGATACACTTTATTTGGCTGGAAATGGCTGCCATATATTTTTGTAAGAATGGAAATTACCAAACTAGTACTTTTGCACGGAATTTTTGGTATTTACAATTTTTGCTGTAACTAGAAATGCTGTTAATATTTTACAAAACTTCGATGCATACAACATAGAAGAGGCTTTGTGCTATTGTGTCCTAGTTTTGCTTTTGCCAGGAGCTGTTCTTGCATGAACGGAAAATAAAAGTTTGCGAATGTTACCTACGTGCCAGTGGAAATCCGTCTTCAGAACAAATTTAAAAGCTATAGAATGCTCAACAGGCGCTGAGACCAGAGCTGTATTTTTTGCATAAGTCTCCTAAATTAGAATCTATTGGAATTCGGCTATGGGAACACCTTTTATACTTTTCATACGATATTTTTAAGTTTTTATTAGCGCAATTGTAGCCAAAGTTTCGGTATGCGACGTACACATGCTTCTAATTGAAAATCCAATATTTTTATTCCTAAGCAATGCAAAAAAACTCTTTTGGAAGTATGTTGTAGACAAAAGTTTGCTCTATCACGCTGCCATTTGACAAGGTGAAAGGAGCAGTTATTGTGAAGGCATGTGGCGAATTCCATAACGACTACCTGCGTGCTATGACAGGTGGACTTGCCAAGATTTTTTAGGGCTGCGTGGAAGCCAAAAGAGGCAGTTTTGCAATTCAAGTACTGGGCTGTATCTGCAATGGTTCGCGTTATGTGTGCGCCAGATTTTTCGTTTCTAGGTACTTCCGTTCTCGTTTTGTACGAAAAAGTACTAGGCTCCCAGACTTTTGCCGCACCCTGTACATACATACAGACAGACAAACAGACATTCAGCTTTATATATAAGATTGAAACTGTAGTAGATTTTGATTTAGGTATAGCGGGATGGCAAACAGGAGGGGGGGGGGAGGGTTGGTCGCGAACTCCTTTGAATAGTTTATATGATCCGCAAAATTTTGCATATAACATGTCGCTCATGATAAATAGCAAAAATGGTTAGAAATTTTGTGTTAGCTAGGCTAATCTTAGTGAATTTTCAATCTTGTGGCGTGCTTGACGACCTACGTTTTTTTTCAGATTATATGGTTAAAACAGTAAACATTTTGAGATTCTCCTCAAATTAACGCCATACTTTCCATTAACAGAGATCCTTGTCTCCCTTGTCTCATCTGGAACAGTCTTTCTGCTATCGCCACAGTTGAATATCTATAGTTTACTGTTTACGGTTTTTTTTTGTTAGGTACGATGTGATTCAATAGCTTCTGTTGCTGGTGATGACTTAGTTCGAGTCAACAATGGCCAAGATGCAGATCATGATCCTTTTCCTCCTACGATCGTTGTCGAACGGGCTACTTTACAGGTTCGTTGTTTACGAGGAGTAAGCAACATTTTGTTGTTCAAAATTGTTTTTAGCTAGGAGCTGGTAACTACAATCTAGTTCTGAATAATTGCGAACACTTTGTAAAATGGTGTCGATACGGGAACAGAATTAGTAGTCAGGTTAGTAGTTCATTTCTATATCTTGGATACATTGTCTGAGCTGATTTATAGTGCATTAGAGAAATAAAATTTTTCCACAAAGAAGATGATTCCAAAAATATTAATATTTAGGCTGTCGCCGCTAAGAGTCTTCTGTTAGGAACAGCTTTAGCTGCAGCAGGTGCTTCACCAATGGTAGCTTTTGGAGCGGGTATGGCGATGTTCACTCTTGCAACGCCGGTGTCAAAGCTGATCAGTCGTTATTATGGCTCTAACTTCTCATTATTCTGAAAGCCTTTGAGTGTGGGCAAATACCTAGTCTGACTAAGAGATGCGTGTATGAACTCCTCATTCCCTTGCCATATCACTTACGAAATCCTCCGTAACTTACCACTGTTCCCAAAACAGCTTTCGTTAAAGCGTGTAATTCTACCATTTCTTGGCTTTACGATTCAAAGTTTTGATTCCTCTGTATACAGCCTGTTCCTCTACCTTCTGTTCAGTTTTACCTAGAAACTAACTCTTCACGCCTAGCCTGCTTGTAGATGTGGCGTCCTTCATTTTTAGCAGGGGCTTCAATCACCTGTGCTATATTTGCTATTTACTCTGATATAATTGATGTTGTTCAATTTACAAAACTGTGATTGAAGTTATATGAGTATTGAGTTATATGATAAACAACAAGAAGAATCCTTCCTTGTATTCAATCACAGGAGGCAGGATTTTGTGAGTTCGCGTTTAGCTCACACGAGAACCTATATTATGTGGCACAGGGTATGACTCTTACTTCTGTCTCATGCGCACGGCTGTCTTCATGAGCTCAATTCCACAACTTGAAAGTTAGAGGCATTCCAATGTGTATTTCTTTGCTTTTTCCAAACCACTTTCATGAAGGATCAGGAACTTTTTTCTCCTCAGTGCGTTGCCTATTTCAAGTTGCTTCATTATCTTTGGGGCAGGTCAAAGAATTGCTTCTAGGTGTTTTTTATGGTGGGCAGTAGTAGGGCGGCAATTTACCTAGAATTCTACTCCTTCCGTCTTTGTATGTGGCGCACTCGTTCTTCGAAATACTATAGATTACCATATAAACTACGGTACGTGAGCGCGTGAGCGACGCCTCTCCGCAGGCAATGTGAAAAAGCTCTATAGATATCTTACAGCTACAAAAGTAGAGAACGACAAAGGATAAGGATCATAAAGATTTTGCATTGTTGCGGTGAATGGATATAAGTCATTGGTACATTCCCATGCTCCATCCATATAAGGTACTCCTCGTGGGTCAAGGTAATTCCATGGGTAGCACTAACGCAACTGTGAATCTGCAAATTTTTTTCCTTGAACGTAGAGCTGAGAATATGTCGGTCTAGCTTGAGGTCGATTTCGCGGTCTGTACCAATTCTCGGTACGTCACGACATTGTATGTATCTCAAAAATGAATGGACTGCACGTGTAGACAAGCCTTGGGTAAGTTCAGATACAGGGCTGGCCATAATTATAAAGACACTCTAAAAATTGTCGTAATTTTCGTTTTTATCAATGAATCTGTGTGAAACTTTGCTGTATTGTGCGTATGTCAACTCTCCCATGACCCTTCAAACGGCTTCCACTCTTGTTGAGTTTGAACGGAGAAAAACGAAAAAATTCGAAGCCCTTAATTAAAGGTGGACAAAATTATAAAGACACCTGGTTTTTCTAATCACTATCGCATTCGTTGGCTCTCAAATTTGTTTACATAATTATATCGTAAAATGTGAACTTTTGCAACACTTACGGCCTGTCTTCCTATTCAAATAGAAGCGATCGCTGCATTTTTTTGCTTTCAAAAGCATCAAAAGTCAATCTGTTTTAACAAACAGCTGGTTTAAAGGCAGCGGCTCGGCAGATTCTTGATTTGAAGTGTTTTTGCTTACCTGGGCTAATTCGAGGCGCTGATTCCAAAAACCTACTTTGAAGAGCGCGAAAATGGCAAAAACCACCCCAAGGCGTCCCATTTTGAATTTGGACGAGTGAGCACGCCCCGCTATGGTTAGAGAGACAGAATCGTTGCGGGACCGTCGCAGTCTGTTCTCGTGTTTGTGGTATCAGCAACCTTCCATGTCGAAATTTCGGGTTGTTCGGTTTTGGCGAGCTGCTGCCTTTGAGGCGTTTTTAAGCCCTTGTTTATTTCAAATGATGGTCATAAAATCTACTGAGCATTTTCGATAGATGAGGTGAGGAGTGCTCCCATAAACTCTGCGTAATCGCTGATATTGACTAACTCCAACACCACAAAACTCGATTTAAGCAACAGAAAATACTGTAATTTAGCCATTACATCAGAAAAAAGGGGATTGGGCACTCTGTTCAGCCGCAGTTGACATCCCCTGAATGTTGAGTGGAGCACCTGCACAAACAAAGCCAACTCAGACCACGAAATAAAGCAGGAGACGCACTTCAAAATCTTAGCTAATCTCATTCATCGGGTGAAGTATGACATTAAACACAGGGGGAAATGGAAAGATCTAGGGTTATGTCGAATTTTCTGCTCGCAATTTTCGTGAAAAGTTTTTCAGATCTCAATCGCAACTGCATCATTAGGGAAAATCGGAAGTTGTTCCAAATGCTGCATCACCATGTAGGCGATGTGACAGATCCACTTCAGCGCGCTATGAACATTGCAAACAGAGTTCTGTTAATTAAAAGCGTGGCAACCCTATATAGGGTTGCCACGCTTTTACTTTTGTAGCAATAACGCGCTTTTGTAGTTATTTTCTGACTCACAGAAGATTATGGCAGCCCGCTGATCGCCTGTCGCTGCCCGCTCGCTACTTTTTCCGAGTTATCGCCGCCCGCCCACTGAAACTGCTTGCTATCGCTGCCCGCTGAGAGTTTCCAAATGTCTGAGATGGTGAGGTCGAAGTCTGTCCATCAACTCAGACAATCGCCGGGGGCAGGCGGGCACCGGAAAAATAGATTGCTGATCTCTCGCCCCCGCTCGCGGATTTTTTGGAAAGCAATCAGGACTTTTCGGAAGACCGCTTGCTGAGTTCTCCATTCCTCAGAGATTCAGCAATATATCTGCAAAAGATAAAAGCGAAAAAATTTCAACAGGCGGTCTCTCAAAAATCCGCTGACTCAGCAAGCGGTCTTCCGAAAAGTTCTGATTGCTTTGCAAAAGAATCCGCGAGCGGGGTGCGAGAAATCAGCAATCTATTTTTCCGGTGCCCGCCTGCCCCCAGCGATTGTCTGAGAATATCAGCGATTACGCAGAGTTTATGGAAGAAAATGCTCAGTGGAGTTTATGACCATCTTTTGAAATAAACAGGGGCTTGAAAACACCTTAAAGGCAGCGTCCGAGCAGGTCCGACGATCTCAAGAAAAGCACAGATTCCTACAGCTCCCACCCCGATCAAGGTGTTGCCCAAGTGGCATCGCTCCACTTTGCTTCTGAAGCGAGAAAACGGCTCAGAAGTGGCGACAGGGACACCCCTTTACGGTCGGCGGCGACATGCCCGCCCATCCAAGGATTTCACGTTAGATGTGCAGGTTGCCAAATCACTGTCATAACTGTGGACGGGTTGCAACTTCGTACTGTCATAACCGTGCCGCAACACAATATTGCGGCGTCCTGCATCTCTGGTTTCTGACCAGGGGGTGCTCGTCCGGAGGCCACTGGAAGGGGCTTCCGAAAACCTCGGATTTCTTCGTTTTCACGGATTTCTTCGAGGCTTATATTCGCATTTAGGGCGACGAGTAGAACCAAATAAGGCAGTAAACCGGAGGTCGTCAATCTGACCGGACGCTGCCTTTAAACTAGCTGTTTGTTGAAACAGATTGACTTTTGATGCTTTTAAAAGCAAAAAATGCAGCGATCGCTTCTATTTGAGTAAGAAGACAGGCCGTAGATGTTGCAAATGTTTCACATTTTACGAGGTAATTATGTAAAAAAATTTGAGAGCCAACGAATGCGATAGTGATAAGAAAAACCAGGTGTCTTTATAATTTTGTCCACCTTTGATTAAGGCCTTTTTCGAATTTGTTCTCTCCGTTCAAACTCAACAAGACTGGAAGCCGTCTGAGGGGTCATGGGAGGTTGATTGACACGCGTAGAACAGCAAATTTTCAGAAAGATTCATCGATAAGAACGAAAATTACGACGATTTTTAGAGTGTCTTCATAATTATGGCCAGCACTGTATGTTGCTCTAATGGTCCATTAAGTGCGGAGACATATACATTTTGTCTTTATTTGAAAAGTTAAACGGGCCCTTAGATTCACATCAGAGTTCTCGAAAAAAGTTTTACAAGGCCAAAAATATACAAAAATCAAAGTATGCGCAGCCTTTTTGTTCAAATCATAATAAACAGTGTGTCCCAAGAAATGTGCACACTGTTCAATCGTTGATAACTCTTTTGCAATGCCTTTCTGCAAAATTTGAGCACTGTAGAGCTGGCTTCAATTTAGATTTATAGTCAGATCATCGATTGCACTTCACTACTGTAAGATTACCGTAGGAACTTTGAGAATGATTCCAGACCATGAAAAGCCCCAGTATGCCTCAGTGAAAAAACCCATGCAGGTTCAAAACTTTTATGCTAAATAATCAGTGTCGCTGAATTCAAACATGAGATTGGCACTTTACGTGATGCTTCTTCCCAAGTTCTTTCAGGTGAATCGTGACAGCGTTAGGCCAATGCTCGTCAGAATGATTAAACCTTTAAAAACCTCGAAAAGTCGTAAAATTTTGTTTGAAGTCAGCATGCGTAAAAATAAACGATCTTCCAGATTTCCTGAGAGATATGTCATTTAGTCTTTTTCACTTTTCCTGCATGCTGGTGCGCCTACCGTAATCTACAGCAAAGGAAAGCGACCTTGATTCACTCTTTACTGCAGATCTAAGTTAGAGCCCAGCTTTGGAACAGAATGGTACTTGAAAATCGAGGGATATAGGCAAGAGAGTTCCAACGATCAAAAAGTGTGCACAGTTTTTGGGACACCCTGTATAATGCCAAAACGAGTGCGTGACGTTTGTAAAGCGAAAAAGTCATGAATATGCTTGCAAAACTTTGAACAACTTGACTCCAACCTGACTCTATTGCGTTAAAAGACTATTACAAAAAGTAAACGATAGGAGTTGTAATCTTGATTGCTTTTTATGGACTCGTTTCAAGAGGAGTACCCTAATGTCACGAGTAAAAGGCGCACTTCTGCTCTAGTAAATGCGAGCAATTCGGCCGCGTCGTTGTACCTAGTGAAACGGTTGCGATTCCACATATCTTTTAGATAAGGGGTAGTCTCCACCCACACGGGCAGCTAGCATGAGGCAGTGATGATAAAGGCGCGAGGTTTGTTGCAAAGAGCGCAAGACCTCCCCTTTCGGGACATAGTTGTCCTCGAGCGGCACTGTAGGAGGCACTTTGGTCGCAAAGGGGTTTGGCGTACTTGAGTCGCTCAAGTGTAGTGAAAATATCGCATTACTCGTAAAATTAAGATTTTTATATAACGTAGCTTTCCTTACAAGGGAACGATCCCAACTCAAGGTGGCGAATTAGAATGGACCGCATATCATTAGATGCGTCTTGATGAGCTGATTCCAAATGTACCTTCCATATCTGCGACAAAGTTATCTGTAGGAAGTTATGAAAGGTTAAAAATGTGAAGTAACGGGGGTTTTGATGCAGAATTTGCTTTAAAATCCAACTTGGAAGTGCACG